GCCCGTGCGTCGGTCTGGCGGTTATGCAGTCGCCGTCGCCGCCACCGTCGCCGCCTCGTCGCCGTCCGTCGTCTGGGCCTGGCTGTCGGTCTGGCGGCTATTTTGCCGCCGTCGCCGACCATTCGCCGCCGTCGCCGCTCGTTGCCGCCGTTAGATTGCACCACGTCGATTGCTTGGCGTTGCACCACGTGTTGCTTTGCATTGCTCTGCGTTGCTTTGCATTTCTTGGCTTTGCTGTGCATTGCTTTATTTTGCTTTGCATTGCTTTGCTTTTCTCTGCCTCGCTTTTTATTGCTGTACGTTGCGTTGCAGTGAATTGCTTTGTATTGCTTTGCATCGCGGTTGCTTGTATTGCTTTGCGTTGTTTTATTTTGCATTGCTTTGCATTGATTTGCATTGCTTTGCATGGCTTTGCATGGCTTTACATTGCATTGTGTTGCGTTGCGTTGCATTTCGTTGCATTGCGCTGTTTTGTTTTGCATATTTGCCTTGGCTTGCATGGCTTTTCACCACAGCGCTTGCACCGCATGCGTTGCACCACCTAGATTGCATCCCGTCGCCGCCTCGTCGCCTTCCGTCGTCTGGGCCCGTCTGTCGATCTGGCGGCTATGTTGTCGCCGTCGCCGACCCGCCGCCGCCGCCGCCTTTCGTTGCCGCCGTTAGATTGCACCACGTGTTGCTTTGCATTGCTCCGCGTTGCTCTGCATTGCATGGCACCGCTGTGCATTGCTTTGTTTTGCTTTGCATTGCTTTGCTTTGCTCTTGCCTCGCTTTGTTTTGCTGTACGTTGCGTTGCAGTGAATTGCTTTGTATTGCTTTGCATCGCGGTGGTATTGCTTTGCGTTGCTTTATTTTGCATTGGTTTGCATTGCTTTGCATTGCTTTGCATTGGTTTTGCATTGCATTGTGTTGCATTGCGTTGCATTTCGTTGCATTGCGCTGTTTTGTTTTGCATATTTGCCTTGGCTTGCATGGCTTTTCACCACAGCGCTTGCACGGCATGCGTTGCACCACCTAGATTGCATCCCGTCGCCGCCTCGTCGCCTTCCGTCGTCTGGGCCCGTCTGTCGGTCTGGCGGCTATGCCGTCGCCGTCGCCGACCCGTCGCCGCCGCCGCCGCTCGCCGCCGCTGTTAGATTGCACCACGTCGATTGCTTTGAATTGCTGTGTGTTGCTTTGTATTGCTCTGCGTTGCTTTGTATTGCTTAGCATCGCAGTGCATTTCGTTGCTTTGCTCTGCCTAGCTTTGTATTGCTTTGCGTTGCAGTGTGTTGCTGTGTATTGCTTTGCTTATCGTTGGTTTGTATTTCTTTGTATTGCTTTGTCTAGCTTTACTTTGCATTGAATTGCATTGCGTTATGTTGCGTTGCGTTGCATTTCGTTGCGTTGCCTCGCTGTGTGTTGCGTTGCACCGCGTCGTATTGCTTTGCTTTGCTTTACGTTGCTTAGCTTTAGTGCGTTGTTTTGCATTGCGTCGCGTTGGCCTGCTTTCCATTGCCTTGCTTTGCGTTGCTTTGCATGGTATGTCATCGCTGTGCATTGCTTTGTATTTATTTGCCTTCCATGGCTTACTTTTGCACTGCGTTGTCTTGTTTTGTCTTGCGTTGTGCTGCCTTGCTTTGTATTGCTTCGCATTGCATGGTGTTGCGTTGCTTTTGGTTTCTTTGCCCTGCTTTGTTCGGCATTTCGGTGTGCTGCTTTGCGTTGTTTTGCATTGTTTTGTATTGCGTTGCGTTGCCTGGCGTTTTTTTTTTTTTTTTTTTTTTTTCTCAACCAGTGCTTGCACGTAGGGGTTCTTACTTCAGAAAGACAATTTTTCGGGTTGGGATGACGGGGTTGTGGGACATGGACATCTCATTACGCGAGACGCGTATGCTGAAGGAGCTTATTACACAGTCATGCCCTGTACTTTCCCAGTCCCGTCCTCCCAATACGTTTTTGTTGTTGTTCGTTTTTTTGTTTTGGTTTGTTTTGTTTTCTTTTGTTTTGTTTTGTACTTACTTGATTTCAGAAGAAATGGGCCTGTGTTTCGGTCTGTTGGCTACGTTGCCGCCGTCGCCGCCCCGTTGCCGCCTAGTCGCCGCCCCCGACGTTTGGGGGCCGTGCGTCGGTCTGGCGGCTATGTTGCCGCCGTCGCCGCCTCGTCGCCTCGTCGCCGCCCGGCGTCTGGGGCCGTGCGTCGGTTTGGCGGCTATGTTGCCGCCCCATCCCCGCCCCGTCGCCGCCTCGTCGCCGTCCGACCTTGATTGCACTGCATAGGTTGCACCAGCTTCGCGAGCGTGGACCTGAACAGTGTGTGCATATCAGCAATGTGGTGGAAGGTCAACATCGAAAACGTTGACCTCGCCGAGGTGATGGCGCACGGCGAGGCGGAGGGCTTCCAGGGGGCTCTCAGCATCGAGCAGGTGGCCGTTCGGGATGCCCTTGCCCAGCGGGGCATTCGGCGGAACGAGGACAAGACAGTCGAGCGGTCCTTCCTAGCAACGTCGATGGGGTCAGCCGTGGACGGGCGGCGCGGACGCGTGAGCCCCACGCTCGAGAAGCTCCTTCTCCACCTCGCGCTCACGTGCTGGGTGCTCGCACGGCCCGATGGCAAGGCGATCTGGCTCGCCGCAGCCGCTGGCTGGTGGTGTTTTGACTTCGGGCATCGGCGGCCGGCTTTCGGCGCATTCGATCGCATCTGGAAGGAGATGTCGGAGTGGCGCGGGCGGCGCCCCATATCGCGTACCTCTGGGGATGAGCTGTGCGTCGCCATGGCTATCTCCCCTTTGCTTTTCGCTGACCTCCGGGTCGTCCTGCACCCGGAGCCGCTCGCGACCGATGCCTCGGAGTACGGCGGCGGGACGTGTGTCGGGCATCGCTAACGCCGCAGGGCTGGGCAGTGGCCCGGACGGAGGCCAGGCCGGCCTGGCCAGAGAGCGGCCCAGCCTCGGAGACTGCTGCGAAAAAGTATGTAGTTCACGGCCTGTTGCGGCAAGCTGACCACCGCGGGAGCGATGTGCGGCTGGACCTGGGTCTGCCGTTCCGCCCCAGCGCGTGGCCGCGGGCTCCGATAGACGTCGAACGATGGCAGTGGCAAACTGTCCTGAGCCACGCTTGGCGCCGGCAGGGCCGCCACATTAATGAGCTCGAGTTGGCCGAGGTCTTGCTTGCTTTGAATTGGTTTTGCCGCAGGGCGGACCGACTGGGCAGTAGGGTCGCCATTTTGATGGACTCTCAGGTCACTCTTGCAGTTTGCGCCAAGGGGCGGTCATCCTCGAGGCGTTTGAATCACCTGTTGCGACGTCTTGATGCGTATTGCCTAGCTGCCTTCCTGCGGCCCTTCTTCGGCTACGCAGCGAGCAAGGCCTATCCGGCCGACGGCCCTTCCCGTGCCCCTGGGAGGTTGTCCCGGCCGCGTGGCCGATGCGAGGCCCCCCGGGGCGCTCCCGGGAGGGCCGTGGGGGACCCCTCATCCAGCCATGGGTCGTAAGCAGGTCGTCGCGGCCACGAGGGAGGCTGGGCGCGCCGCTTCGCGCGCCTCTCTCGGCAAGCTTCAAGACCAGGTAGTGACGGCCGGGACTCTTGCCCGGTGCCGGCAACAGGTGAAAGGTTTCTTAATTTTGGCGATCGGCCGAGCTCGATGACCAGAGTATTGAGGCCGATCTCGATGAGCAGCTCATGGCTTACATTGAAGTGCTGTGGGCTGAAGGCGACCCCAAAGCCCATGCAAATGATTTGGTTGCGGGGATCCAGAATTTCATGCCCCGGTACAGGGGGGCTCTGAACGGGAGCTGGCGACGTCATTTTTGGGCAGGGCTCCAACTATGCCGTGCTCAATTTAAGGCTCACCAGAACCGGGGCGCGACAGGGCGCCCAAGAGTCGGTCACAATTTCTGACAGTATCGTGGCCGCTCATCTGCAGCGTGTCGTGCTTGATTTGCCACCTGTGCAGTTTGTCAGGCCCGTCGCAGCGGCAGATTTTCCGCGATATATGCCGAGAACTGCAGCTGGACGAACACGGTTATGGAGTGTATTCTGTCCGGCGAGGTGGTGCAACTCATGATTTCTCCTACCATGGCCGCCTCGACCGCGCAATGGTGCGTGGCCGATGGTCCAATTCACGCACGGCCCGCCTGTACATAACCGAAGGCTTGGCAGCCCTAGCGGATCTCCGACTCACGCCTCCGCAACACAGATTGTTGGAGACAGCTGCCAGCTTTTGGCATCCAGGTCAGGGGTGTGCGGAAGATCTTTCCGGGCGCTGGCTCCTCTCCTGCCCCCGTGGGCGCTCCTGGCAGTGGCTGGGATGGCCCTGGTTGGGCGAGAGGGTGAGCTAGCTCTCCTGTGCCCGGCTCACTTCCCTTTTACAGAGACCCCTGGCCACTGCGGAAAAATGCATTGAGCAGAGTCCATATATATTTATATATATATACACATGTGAGTGCATGTGCTGGTTGTGTATGTGCATAATTCTCTCTCTCTCTCGCTCTCTCGCTCTCTCGCTTTCGCTCTCACATACTCTCTCTCTCTCTCTCTTCCTCCCTTTTTTTTTGTTTTCTCCCGTCTTCTTTCTTATCCCCATTTGCCACATTCTCATTCTAATCCTCTTCCTCTCCCCTTTTTAGAACATCTCCTTCTCTTCCATATTCCTTATTCCATCTCTTCCTCACGCCTCTGCCTGCCTTCCTGTCCCACCGTCTCCATCCAACTGCTTCTCGAGTCCCACACCAGCATTCTGAACGATCGTGCGACCGTCTTGCCCACCAGGGGAATCGACTACGCGTTAGAGTGACCCTTCGTCAGAGTGACCTCGGGTACAGGCCCACTGGGGCCTCCCGATTGCCGAACGCGATGCGGTAGCAGCGTCTTGCGCGCTTGTGTTTGGTCCCCCGTGGACCCCCAAAAGCCGCGCACCAGAGGTCACCTTCACCCAGGTTCATTCTTGCGTGTAGCCGAGGGAACTCTTTCGTGAGATCGTGTCGCCGGTCCATTCCGCCACTTCCAAGGTTCTGTGCCGCAGGCTTTTCGGCCGACGTAGGCAGGGCATCCAGATCTTGCGCTTCCGCTCTCCGCGCCGCAGCCTGGAGCCCCCCTTGCCATGGCACGCAGGCGCGGCCAAGCCCTCCCGCCGCGGTCGCCGGATTGGCCGTGATCGCCCGCGCGCTACACTGCCGTGCTTTTCTCTCTCCTGCCCCCGCCCCCCCCGACCCACCCAGCTTTTCGGGGGTCCACTAGTGGATCTGAGGTGCCGAGAGGCCCTTCTCCAGCGCGAGAGTTATGGGGTCCGCTTTGGACCACTAGCTGACCCCGCGGTTGCGACAACTGGGAGGAACTCCGCCTCGCGTGCCTACAGTGCAATGGGCCAAAGCCTTCTTGACCTCCTTGGCCGAACGGAGCTGGGCCCAGCAATCCACCCGTCACCAGTCGGGCTGTGCCGCTGATCCAGGGTGCCAGGCTTGTGTCTAAGCGGCTGGTCATAATCTCCTTTGCACACGCCCATGCCTGGCCCTGCAGTCCACTCGCGGGAATCCTTCTTTGAGGGCGCCCGTGGTGTTACAAAGACCTCGCTTCTTACAAGCAGACGCCACGTGTGAAACCACCAATCTGTCAGTAAAGACAATACTAGGCCACTGAAAACATTAATCTGCCACTAATTCAAGACACTAACCTGTCAGTAAAACACCATCGTCATCGCTTTCGTCGTCGTCATCATCATCATCATCATCGCAACCATATGACATATGATTATGAGGCTGATGATGTGCCCCAATCGGGAGCCACTTAGGAGATTTCGGGTCCAAGGCCCTGGTGGGTGTGTTCGCATACAGCTTAAGAGCATAAGGCCTAAATGCCCCCCGCTCATTCCAGCACGTCCCTCACACATTTCGCGCCCTGGGGAGCTCCAGTGGGACCCCCACCTCCTTGACGTGTCGGTGGCCATTTTGAGGAGGAGGAGGAGGAGGAGGAGGAGGAGGAGGAGGAGGAGGAGGAGGAGGAGGAGGAGGAGGAGGAGGGGGAGGAAGAATTTGGTGAGGAGGAGGACGAGGATGAGGTGTGAGGCGGAGGAGGAGGAGGAGGAGGAGGGATAAGGATGAGGATGGCGGAGATCCAATGGCGAGGCGACGCACGGCGACGAGAGCCAAGCTCGAGGCCAGCCAGCGACCCGAGTTACAGGCCACCGACGGCGAAATGGTCCGTGATTGGGGTCATGGGCCCACGGGCCGCCGACGCGCCGCGGAAGGGGCCCCCGGGTGCCTCCGGGTGCCTCCTGGACTTTTCAGGGCCTCGTGGGGCCTTTTGTTGCCTCCTGGGGCCTCTTGGGGCCTCCTGGGGCCTCCTGAGGGTCTCCTGAAACCTCCTGCGGCCTCTTGGGGCCTCCTCGGGTCTTCTGAGGGCCTCGTGGAGCCTACTGGGACCTCTTACGTCTCCAGGTGCCTCCTGGACTTCGCAGGGAAGCTCCCGGGGCCTCCTGTTGCCTCCAGTTGCCTCTGGGGGCCTCCTGAGGGTCTCCTGAACCCCCCTGGGTCCTCTTGGGGCCCAGTCGGGTCTCCTGAGTGCCTCGTGGAGCCTCCTGGGACCTCGGGGCCTCCTCGAGCCTCCCGAGGGCCTCCTGAGGGCCTCCTGGGACTTCCTGGGACCTCTTGGGCACCCTGTGGGCCTCTTGTGGGCCTCCTGTGGGCCTCCTGAGGGCCTCCTGGCCTCCTTTGGCCTTCTGGAGACTCTCGGGGCCTCCTGAGGGCCTCCTGGGGCCTCGTGGACCTCGCGGAACCTCGTGGAGCATTTTGGAGTTTCCCGGAACATTCGAGGACATTGCTGAGGCTGCCCCGGCAGCAAGCGCCTCGTGCCACGCGGCGATGGCCTCCAGGAGCGGCACAGGCTTCGCGGCGTCGTCGGCGTCGTGCATCATCTCAAGCTCGGATTCCAGGAAATTGTCGACCACCTCACCGGAGGGGGGCGGGGTCGGCCGGATCGAGGTTTTCGGGGCCTAAGAGACGGGGGTCAGTGCAAACGGGGGTCAGCCAGGGCGCTGGATCCTACAGGATCCTGCGAAGACCCCCTCTGGCTGACCCGGGTTAGCGAGCCGCTCGTGGCCGCGAGGCGGCCGCGCATATTGGCTGACCCGGGTTTGCGAAGACCTGCGATGCAGTTTTTTGTTCCTGCACTGCATTTTTTTTTGGTTTTCTGCTGACCTGGGTCTGGATTGACCCGGGTCAGAAGATCCCCGATTTTTGCATGTTTTAATTTTCGGGAACGCCGTCCGGCGGTCCGGGAGGTCGTGGCCCGGGAGGTGCCAGGGAGGTCCGCTAATCCCGGACGGTAATCCCAATATTCGAAGCCGTGAACTAAAATAGTGCTGGGCGAGGGTAGGAGCAGCTCGGGATACTCTCCTGCAGTTGCGACGCGCCGAGAGCGTTCCGGGGGCGCTCGAATCGCCCTGGACGGCCGCCAGAAGTCCGGGGAGGTTCCAGGTCCCGCCGACCCCGCCCCCCTCGGGTTAGATTCGGAGCTTGAGATGATGATCGACGCCGAAGCCGCCGCGAAGCCTGCGCCGCTCGTGGAGGCTATCGCCGCGTGGCACCAGGCGCTTGGGATTGCGTCTGAGGGGACCGTGCTACCAGGGCAGCCTCAGCAATGTCCTCGAGTTTCCCAGGAAGCTCTAGGAAGTTCCAGGAGGCATTCAGGAGGCTCTGGAAGGCCCGAGGTGGCCCCTGGGGCCTCGTGGACCAGGAGGCCCCAGGAGGCCTTCAGGAAGCCTGAGGGAGGCCCTCAGGAGACCCGAGGAGGCCCCAAGAGGCCCCAGGAGGCTTCAGAGCTTCAGGGAGGCCCTCGGGAGGCCCGAGGAGGCCCGAGGAGGCCCCAGGAGGCCCGAGGAGGCCACTGAGAGGTCCAGGAGGCAACCGGAGGCCCCAGGAGGCACCTTCCGCGGCTCGTCGGCGGCCCGTCGGCCCATGACCCCTATTACAGACCATTTTGCCGTTGGTGGCCCGTAAATCAGGTCGCTCGCTTCGAGCTCGGCTCTATGTCGCCGTGCGTCGCCTCATCATTTGGTCTCCATCATCCTCATCCCCATCCTGCATCTTCCTCATCCCGAATCGTTTCATCGTCATCCTTATCCTCTTCATCATCCTATCCCTCCCGGTTCTCCTGATCAGCCTTTGCATCTTCATCCTTCTCCTCATCCCTCGTCCTTTTCCCCCTCTGCCCGTGGGAATAGCTGCCCGCTCCGGGGGCAGCGAAACCCACGGGCTAGCGCTTGTCGCTCGCTGGCGATCTCCTCGTTCATGGCGAGGTGGAGGAAGAGGAGGAGGAAGAGGAGGAGGAAAAGGAGGAGGAGGAGGAAGAGGATGGGAGATGGGGGATGGGCGCACCAGCACCGCCACCTGTGCCTACGCCCGCCCCGACGCTAGCACCACCACCTTTCCTCCTCCTCCTCCTCCTCCTCCTCCTCCTCCTCCTTCTGCTCCTCCTCCTCCTTCTGCTCCTCCTCCTCCTCCTTTTCTGCGCAGGCCGCTGGGCGCACCCGCCCGTGGCGTAAGAAAGCCTGTCGGCGGCAGGCAACAGGACAGGCGCCTTGTCCGTACTCCAGAAGGCCTTACACATACAGGCGGGAGCACGACAACGCGAGAAACAGTGAAGGTCACTCGACCAGGTCGTTGAAGAACTAGGACGACAAGGATGTATTGAAGAGCCTGGAAGACGAAAGGGACCTGGTCGAGGGACAAGGAGGGCCTCCACAAGCAACGCGGAGGCCCCCCTGCAAGTGCAGGCGGCCAGCAGGCCGACACCACGCGAGGTGGAGCAAGGAGCAGCAACGATGATGATGGAGACGAGGCGGGGGAGGCTGGACAGAAGCAGGGGGCGGGCGCGAGGGGAGACCATTACGCCAGGCTCATTCGCTCCGCCTCCGCACCGCCCCCACTAGCTCGCCTCACGCGTCTAGCAGGCCACGAGAGATCGGCAGCAGACACAGCACGGAGGCAGCAGGCAACAACAACATATCATCCTGTGCTTCTCAACCTAATCATCCAGCCCCCCCCCACCAAAGTCATCCTTAGGGCTGCAAGGCAGAGGACGAGCGCCTCCTGCGAGCAGCCAGAGCCTGTGCAGGGATGCTGGACTCAGCAAAAGCCTGCGCGAGCACACGGGAGAGGCCATGCGGCCAGGCCTTTAGCTGGTCAGCTGCAGCGTGTACATGGTGTGTGCAGCGCCATCTCTCAGCCTCCAGATTGAATGCCATGTGCGTGTGAACCAGTGCCGTAGGGAGCATGCTGTCTGCCCCCATCATGCAGAGGTCCATCCGCACAACCTCAAAAGTACTGCCTACCATATTGCCAATGTCGGGCACCACCTCGCAGATCTTCGTGAAATCGTCACCTGGCAGAACCAAACAGGCTGCCACTCCAGTGATGTATGCAGCCTCCAGCAGTGACCACGCTGCTCTGAACTGACTGTTTTCTGCACGGGGCCGTCGCCGAGAATGTTCACCAAGTGTAGGTATGCCCCACGGGTGCAAATCAGCCCTCATAGCTTTACTCTGCACATTGCCATGATCAGAACTCCTCCAGGTAACTGTAGACGGTGAGAGTATGAGTCCAGCAAATTCCCCATTTGCCATATCACTCATCATCTCTCTTACTTGGTTGTCACCCAAGATCGTCAAAGTTCCTTCCGCGTCACAAATGGGATCACGAATGGGTTCGAAATGCTGACTCGTAATTCGGTTAGCCCAGTCTGAGGTATCAAAAACCATACAATCTCCAGAGAAACCATGATAGAGTTGCTGCCGCCCTGGTGTACCACATAGCCGCTGTAGCTGTGGTTCTTCTCGATGGACGGGTAGCTGTACTGTTGGCGGTACTGGCGGAATGTGCACTGCGCCACGACCCCCCCGTGTGTTGACCGTTGTGCATGCTTAAAGACACGGCGATAGTTGTAGCCTTTGTGTATCATCAGGCGTTCACGAATGAGATCCTCCTGCCGAAGTGATTCAGCCTTTTCCAACTCTAACAAGTCCCCCTGCCCAGCCAGGTAGTTCAGGCAAGTGTTGCCAGGCCTCCGGGGGTGACGGAAAAGGTTCGATTTGTATTGGGCCGCACGTGCCGCTCTGG